TGTTCTTTGACAATGAGATATTCCAGGCTTATCGTGTACCCTCCTTGCTCCAGCCTGGAATTAGCCATTTCTCAAAGAGCCATGATTTCTTTTGATGGAGAATAGTGTTTAGAAGATGAGATCTGGGGGCTAAGTGTGCTCATTGTTATTGGGATGTTGCTACCAGGCCCTCTCAGTGGACAGATGTGGTGAATATATGTAGAACACATATATACACACACACACATTTGCATCTATATGTATTTCTATGTCTATACATATACATTGAAAACCACAAGTTCCAACCCAATTCCAACCCAAGTTCCAAATCCAATTCCAACCCAATGTAACAGAATTTATCCTTGTTTTCTCCCTTTCCATATTTGTAACTTTATTTTCCAACAATGAGAAACTTGCTCCCATTATCTTTATATACTTACTAGTTTTATCAACCCCCTTTATGTAATCTGTCTTCCATAGTTGCTGCCACCCCTTTCTCATGCGGATGCCCTCGTCACTCCACTCAGGCTATTACTCAACTCAGGCTCCAACACCTCACACAGGAATGCCTGTCTACGCAGACGCCCTCCTTATCCTGCTCAGACTCTGACAGCCTGTTGCAGGCTTCCCCACTCCACGGACATCTGCTCACCCTTCTCAGATTTCAATATAGCATGCAAATCACACTTCCTGTGGATGTCATTATTGCCCTACTTGGGCTTTGACACCACCCTCCATCCCCTCACCCACCCACCCCAAAAGATGCCTTCCTCACCAAACTAGAGTGCCAACACCCTGGACCAGACCACCCTTCACAAGGAAGACCTTCTCACCCAGCTTGAGCTCCAACATCCTGGGGAAGACTATCTCACAAGGACATCTTGCTCACCTCACTCATACTGTAGCATGCTGACCCCCTACATGAGTGTGCCATCATCACGGGGCTGTCCTCCTACACAGACCTCTCTCTTCTCTCTGCACATTTTTCAACGCCCTGTGCTGAGCCACCACCTCCCAGCACAGACACCTTCCTTACATGAGTTAGCTACCCCACCCTTCCCAAGTGTGGACACCCATCTAGCTTGGCCCTTTCTAATTTCTTTTGGACTGAATTGTTCAAGGAAAACAGAAAAAGAAGGTAAGAGAGAGAGGAAGAAGAAAAATTGCATTTTAATGAAAGGAAATTTATAGAATTCTTACCCTGACAGTTTATCACTTATAAATGGACCTCCCCTTGCACAGTGGAAATGTTCTTACCCTTGTTAATCAAAAAAAGTGATATTTATTTTTCTTTTTTAAAAAATGAGATAGTTGAATATTAAGAACGATCAAAATTTATATTCTTGGGTTGGGGGGAAAGGATTCTGAAGGATTTGTCTATACAGGGTAAGTAGATTACATCAGAAAGAGACATTTTGTGCCTGGAGTCAATTTAGTAAATCTCTCTAATTCTAAGAAGTGTCTACATTATGCAATTATTCATATTTCTTAAGCTTCTCTGGGTCATTGCTCCCTTTTCAAATCTAATGAAAACCATAGCTCTTCTCAGAAAAATTTTCATACTGATTCAGAGGCACACACACACAATTTGCATTCAAATTCATAGTATTCACATTCTTCTCTATAGAACATTTGACCTTCAGGTCAAGAACAGAAATGTCTCTCAATAATGTCAACGTTTGCCTAAATAAACATAACAGCAGCATCCAGTCTTTGCAGCAGACCTACCTAGGCTTAAGAATAAGCTCTACCACTTACTTGATTTATAACTTTAGCCTTAACTTCTCGGAGCCTTATTTATAAAACGGATATGATAACTACCTCTGGGCTATTGCAAGAATTTGAGTTTATGTAGAAAACAATGTCATACTCACAGTGGCTGCTGAGATTGAGTTAATTTTTACTAAATGACTACTTGGAATCATCTGAACACTTTGCAGAATGCTTCAGCTTCTCACGAGATGCTTAGTGCCATCCTGGAGAAGAGGTTTTGAAAATCCAAGTTCATTCAATTCCTATCCTTTGGTTCTGTTGTAAAAAGATATTTTCTTAGTGACAATTCTTGAGTTTTAAAGGAATCAGTGCTCAATGCGTGTTAACTCTTCCATTAAAATCAGAGATTCCAACCTAAAATACCTTCAGGGTTCGCCCGTGAGAGGAAAGCAGGTCAGAGGGAAGTAACAGGAAGTGGAGAAGACAATAAAAATTCTCCTAGAAGTAACAGTCAATCCTCAGCTCTGGACCAGCGTTCCAGTGGAAGAATGTGGGACTAGGTTACTAGAATGTAGAAGTTTTTCAAAGAAGTCAGAAATTTGGGTTTTATAAGAAATTTCCCAATTTTAATACATTGTGTGGCCCATCAATTTGCAACCTCTGCCTTAAATGGAAACATGCTTATATGCCAACATTGGTCTATTTTTGAGTAAAAAGAAGAGAAAAGCATAACTACATGAAAATACATGTTAAGAGTAGCAAAAGTTTTTCCATAATCTTAAGTCCATTTAAGATACTAAACAGAGAAAGCAGAACCTCAGCAATTACACAAGATGTCCATAATAAGCTTTATTATTATAGCTTGAATATGACATTCATAGGATTATGTATATTTGTTTATGGTTTCAGGCTTATAGACAACTTTGTAATACTTAAAAAATTAAAAATTGTATGTAATCATGAAAGGCTTTGAATAAATAGCCAGAACTTACACTTCAACAAGTTTATTTATAAATTCTAGAAAATCCAACAGTGGTAGAGTGTTTTTATGTTCACCCAAATAGTGATTAACCTAAGTATAACTTATCAAAACCACAAAACCTTTGTTTGGACATCCTCATTAAAATGAAGCAATTCAAGGTAGAGTTGCCCTTATCAAGCAAGATTGAAACAAAACAACACAAGACTGTCCTAGAAAGAATTACTAACTTTGATTCTTACTTTAAATTAAGAAAGTATTTCAGGGGACCGGCTCAGCGGCACAGCAGTTAAGTTTGCACGTTCCGCTTCGGCAGCCCAGGGTTCGCCAGTTCAGATCCCGGGTGTGGGCCTACGTACTACTTGGCAAGCCATGCTGTGGTAGGCATCCCACATATAAAGTAGAGGAAGATGGGCACGGATGTTAGCTCAGGGCCAGTCTTCCTCAGCAAAAAGAGGAGGATTGGCAGCAGATGTTAGCTCAGGGCTAAACTTCCCCCCCAAAAAAAAAAAATTGAGTATTTCCCTGAGGCAACATATTCCTTGCTTCAAATAGCATGCTTTGGACTCATTCTTGCACTGAAGTTATTTCCCTCACCTGGCTCTACGAAACCGGAGCCCAAACAAATATTCAACTGAACAATATGGACTCCAACACCGCCAAGATACCGATGAAACAGAAACACACACAAAATTAAGACAATCTTCAACAACAAACTAAATATTTAAAAAGTCATAAACTTCAGATGACTCATGGAAAGAAACTTACTATTTTCTTATAAATTTTGACTCTTTTAACAAAGTCAAGCTTACAGCAGGTTAACCAGCATTGAATACACAACCATCCCCATGTCTGCTATTGCCCTGTTTTGTTCCTATAAAAGTGAGCCCCCACAGACAACTTGGTTACCAAAAAATGCTGCTTTTCCTCAGAAATCTTTAAAATATCTTTTAGGAAGTACAATCTATGTGCTCTGGGTGCTTTCAGAACTGAATTATGAGAAACGCCTTCCTGCCCCAAGGTGCCGTGAAAAATCTTATCTGAAGCATTTCCAAGGCAGTCATCAAACTGACTACTTAATTCAGTAGATACAGCAAATAAATTCCTGCAGGGAAAAAACCCACATCAGTAAAAAGGGTAGAAAAATTAGTGCATTTCATTAGACAGTCCTTCAACAAGCAAGGCACTGATTATTTTCAGCATCTGAATTATGATCAGAAATTGGAATTAGTAAGGTCTAAGAGAGAAAATTCCAGTACTTAAAAAGAAGCATTTGCTGAGTCCCGAGGAGCAGAGCTGCATAACCCTAGAGCTAGAGTTGTGAGAGGAGGAGAGGCCTGCACACAAGTTCTGGAGTGAAGCTCCAGGCGGACTGAAGGTCCTATAGACATCCCCCGTCATCCTCTCACAGTGTGGCCACTTTAGTGTAGGAAGTGCATGGCGTTATCTGCATTAAGAGGGCCTGCGATAGCTCCCAAGAGTCCTCTGCCACTCCAGGTAACATGGTAGAATATGCAAATTTTCCTTTGATTCCAAAAGGGCACCAGAATTGCAAGAGAAAATAAGAAAGAACAAGAGCGAGAGCAAGAGAGAGAAAGAGAAAGAGACAGAGAGACAGTGAAGGAGAGAGAGAGAATACCTGAAAGGCTGCTGAGACAAGGAAAGGAATAGAGGAAGTAAACTAACCACTGGAGATGGATGGAAACGTGTTATCCAAGCACGTCTGGGAGAAAAGTTGTGATTAAGAGAAGCTAGTAAGAAAAAAGATTCAGCAGCTAATGCCAACAAGAATGAAGAGCCAGGATGAAACACCCTCTCTGATGAAGCAACGCTTCATAACCTCCCTCTAAACTTAGGGCAGCCCTACAGATAAAAGGAAAGGAGGAAAACTCTGGATGACTTTGAGAACATCTGAATTAGCTATGAGAAACCTGAACTAAGTGAGCAATTACTCAATTGATCAAGCTTATATTTGCATCAGTGGAATTGGAACCCTAGGAATGATTAACTTCAGTTATTTTTACAATAGAGAAGAATTATATTTCTTATATTCTTGAGTTTTGTGGATTAAAAATTTACATTGATGCAATTATTATGAATACTCGGTAAACATTTTAGTCTATTCTTTCAGTCTTTTTCCCATTCAAATATTATATTTAATGCTTTTGGCTTTGGGTTGGGGTGGTTCACAAAAATCCAGCTCATACTGTCAAGTGGTTTCACTTGCTATAATAATAACAGTAACAAAGATGATGAATAATAACACATATAGCAGTTGCTCTATGTCAGGAAATTTGCTAAGCATTTTAAATATACTAATTAATTTAAGCTTCACAGCTACCTAATGAAGAAGCTTCCCTTATCATCCCATCTACCAGATGAAAAGACCAAGGCACAGAGAGTAAGACGTACACCAGGAAGTGGCAAGATCAGGACCCAGGTGAGCTCTAATCCGTCCTCCTGAACACTGTGCCTCCTTATTAGTCTTTGAAAGCAAGCTTCTAAGACTTTACATGCTGTCTGGCACATGAACATTCAAATTGCTGATGGAGGGACAAGCCTGGTGGCATAGTGGCTAAGTTTACACACACCACTTTGGCAGCCTAGGAGTCCTGGGTTTGGATCCTGAGCACAGAACTATACACTGCTCCTTAAGCCATGCTGTGGCAGCATCCCACATACAAAATAGAGGAGGATTGGCACAGATGTTAGCTCAGGGCCAATCTTCCTTACTAAAAAAAACAAAACAAAACTACTGATGGAATAAATAGATGACATATGGTGTCATAATATTCTAAAATTATTTATGTACCATCATTAGTTTAAATGCTTGCCCAGTTGCCAGACAGTTCAAAGGTACTGAAAAATAACACTATGATGGCCATCTTTATATATAAGCTTTCTTTCCTAATTTCTGACATATAACTTAAGCTAGGTCCCTAAAAAGGGATTATTAGGTCAAAGAGTATGAATGTCATTAGGTCCCTTTATAAATATCACCAAATTGTTTTCCGGAAAAGTCATACCAATTTAACAGCTGCCAATGGTGTATTGTTTCACTTTATCATCGCCAAACATTGGATAACCAAATTTTTTTCTTGTTAACGTAACAGTGAAACATATCATCTGATAGTTGTTTGACTCTTTCGTTTCTGTGATTACTAGTGAAGTTAAATAAGGTGTTTTTTTAATGTTTATTGGACATTTGTATTTCTTTTGTTTCACCACCTTTGTAAGTCCAAATCTAACTCTAATTTAACTATTTGTTTTTCTTTATACATATTTTTCCCACTTCCAACTTTGCAAAATGTTCTGTTGGCCTAGAAAATATATTACTATTTTCCTTTCTGCAAAGCTACCTACAGTAAGGCCCCTGTTCAGAACAAGTGGCAGAATAAGGGCATCAAAGGGCAATTGTGAGGAAATCAAATATTCTACGTGAGGAGCATAGAAATCCAAGTTTAATGCCCATCCCCCCAAAATAAATAAACAAACAAATAAATGGGGTGTAAAGCTGAATATGTATAATTGAAGTGAGCTAAAAGACATAAAGTGCAAACTGAGCAAATAGCTTTAGGGAACATATATTTATTCATGACCATTAGTGTTCCAAGCCATAAATCTACTTAATAAGATTTAATTACAATACTGCTCAAGACAACACAGAGATTATAAAATCTGAGAGTAGCATTTTATATATTGCTAGAGGGATTGTCTGTTCATGCAAATAACTGGCATGTCTTCACCCAAAAGGACCAATTGAATGAATTGTTTAAGACTTTATGGCTAATGAGGGGAGTAATAAAACAAAAACAGTTCTGAATTCTTCAGATTTCAAAGACCTTAACCCCTCTTCTACTGGGATCTCTCACTCGCCAGGCAAAGTAGAGTACAATAAGGGGACATCAGAGAAGGGGAAACACTGAAGACACTGATGTTTCTCAAACTTTCAGCAAAGTTAACTACTACCTTCCTAGTTGATATTCCTGTCCTTATTTGTCTTTTGTATTATAACTTGTCTATTTAGAAGCCTTTTCCCCTAAAGCTGTGAGCTCATTGAAGGCCAGGACCATGTGTGGTTCATCATTGTACTCCTAATTGTCGGTAAGTCCCAATGTCTGGAACGTAGTCCCTGCCACATGAGAGAGATTCAGAAAAGGTGTTGAACATAGGAATAAATAGGCACTAGGAGAACATTAAAATGCCAGTAATAGGAGCTTTCATTTGGTCATTGTTTCTAACTTTAAAAAAGAGTTTTCACCTTTAGTCATATGTTCTAAAATCAAAACCTAGCCTTGATCATTTCAGGATCCATTCCTTGCGCTGATGATGGCTCTATAAAATTCCTTTACTCCTTCACAGTCAATTGACCGTGACACGTAAAAGAGGAGAGCTTTGGGGATCAAGATGCTAACAATAAACAAAATATCAGATCCAGGCACACAAAGCTGCCATAAGACACTCAAATGTTCAGCCACCACTTCACATTACTATTGCAAGGAATAAGCAAGGGACCTTGTCTGTCTGCTCGTGTGATGTGACATTGGAAACCTATCGATTAGTCTGTCTCTCTGCAAGCTGGATTCTCTAAATGATTGCCCTGGGCAGGGTATAAACTAATTCCCTCAAACTTTTTGACAACTCCAGTCTGCTGCACCATGTACCACACCTGGCTGTTGCTCCTAAAGATGTACCCTCCCCATCCAGCCTCCCATCCATGTATAATGGTTGTTCATCCTTGTGTTCGTATTTACCACAGATAGTAACACAGCACCTGCTACTCCGGCTCTGATCACTGTCATATCTAAGCTCGTCAAGTGACATTGCTGTACCAAGAGACAAAGGTAATAAGCCAACATTTCCCAAGCTTTTGCACATCACAGCATACATAGAAAGTGCAGGAATTGTCCAGAGGCAGATGAAGCTGCTGCTGCTGGCCATCCTGGCCCTCCCCAGCTGCTTCCAGGCCTAAGGAATGAGGCATACCTGTGTAACTCTGCATAGGGCGGGTGCAACTTCACAGGACACAACTTTAGATTGACCCTAATGTATATCTCAGGGTCCCACTTGTCTGGCTTTCAGGCAAACTTAGCCAAATTCAGTGATACCTCAATTAGGAATAAAATACATTCATATTTCTGATTTTTCTCCTCTTCCTCTCTTTCACCCTGAGATCGATGCTCAGGGAACTTAAATGCTGCTAGAATATCAGTGGGTGTGTAATGACAAATAAAAATTAAAAACAAGAGGCTTAATTCTCCCTGCTAAAAATAAGAGAAATCTCCCCTTCCTTTTCTTAGAGCATTTTCTTTTATAAACTTGTAATTATAAATGTATATAAATCTGTCCTTAAAAAAACCCCTTGACCCACAACTAGAGGGACCTGCAACTAAGATATACAACTGTGTACAGGGGGAGTTTGGGGAGATAAAGCAGAAAAAAAAAAAAAAGATTGGCAACAGTTGTTAGCCCAGGTGCGAATCCTTGAGAAAAAAAAAAAACCTTGCCAGTTTTACAACCCAGGAATTTCTTTCTCATGGACCTGGAAGCCACTCTCTTGAAATGTGTTCATCAAGTGTGAGGGTGCCCATACCCCCATCTCTGTAAGGAGGAGGGGCTTAGCTTCCACAGGCACCTGGCCCCAAGTTGCAAAACTACCTTCTGTCATAAAGATATGAAAAGTGTAAATTTCTCTTCGTATAAAGCCAATAAACTAACACAGATGATCACTCCAATTACCAGGTAAATTTAGGATGAACTATGTGTGACTAGTGATCATGTATCTTGAGAACATATATGTAATGCTTTGTACCTGCTTGCCTATATAAAAGAAGGGATTTCTGTTTTTGCAGTCTCTTAACAGACTGCCTGTGATATGCATCACATTCTAGTTTAATGCTCGCTCAAAAACAAAACTGTTTTCTTTCTCTACTACCTTTGTGTAGAGGTTTCCTGGGTTGGGAGATTTTGTTTTTAATTATATTTCCCCAAAAGCGAGGAGTCATATGCTCACCCACCTTTGTCTTGGTTCTAGCTGATCTCTCCATTCAGAAGATACTTCTTTCTTCATTTGATACTCAAGTACATCCCACAGCATGCTGGCAATCTACTGGGCTATAGATATGTCATCATCCCATCTCTGGCGGAACTAATCTATCCGCCTTTATTGTCTTGTCCTGACTATCAGCGCTTTGAATGCTCAAGAGCTCTGTCTCCCAGCCAATGTCCACAGGAGCTCAAGGAGCCACAGGCATTTTTTGATGCCTCCCAGCACACTCTGGAAAACTTGTAGGCAGTCTCCAACCTCCGCATGACTAGACATACCACATCAATATTTCTGTTCCCTTTCACCATGACAGCCTAGAGAATTCTTCTATGAGGCCCACTCTTTCCTAGGCCTTACCTATCTCAGAGATCCCAGAGTTCTTACTTGTCCGCCGTCAAGATTTGGCTCAGGCTGGAGTGAGGAGACGGGGCCCAGAGCTCCGGCACCATTTAACACTTCTTTCTAAACTCTTCTCTCCTCCGCAGCACTGAGGGCCTTTTATCTTGTGTGGAGAACGGGAAAAGAGAAAACTATTCTGCCTGACTGTAGCATCTTTAAAATATTTATCTGACTTACATTGCAATTGTGCCTTTTACACCTCAAAAATAAGAACTTTGACTTATTTGTTCTCTATTTCCACAGTGCCTAGACAGTGGCAAGGTCCTCAAAGTAGTTACAGAAGAAGCGTATAGGTGGGGAAAAACACCTCTCACACCCTAAGCTACCATCCACTCGATATATGATTGAGGGGAAAGCCTAAACCTCTCTCTAAAATTCTCTCAAATGAATGCCAGGTTCTATCTTAAAGTAAATAATCTGATTGTTCAAGTTTCTTCTGTCCTTCTCGTGGCACTTGCACAATGACCCTTTATTTATGGCTAAGGTTTCAGGCATCTTCTTGTTATTCTCCATAAAGAAAGAGAGCAAACATAGTGGGTTTCCCACATTTGGAGTTTTTAAAAAACAGCTCACCCTAGTAGGAGCAAGGACACTACAGAGCCATTTGAGGACTTAAAAAAAATCCACTGCAGACCCATCGTCAGGACTAAAGAATCAAATCAATAAGATAAAGAGATCTCCTGGCCTGTGGACTAAATAATATGTTGGAAAACCTGCAAGCTAATGAAAATCAATACATGTTCATCTCTGTGTAGAAAAACCCAATAAACTCAGAGCTCCTCTAATTTACCACCTAACAAAATGTATCGCAAATATACATCAATAGAGGTGAAATATGCTGAGGAGCATGGCTGGGAGACGCCATTTTCCTCAGGTAGTTCTCAAACACTCAGTCACAGAGCCCTGTGCTCCTGGCATATGGGAGTACATTCTCAAATGTGGAAAGTGACCAGACTATCTGAGAGGAGGCATAGCACGTACCAAGTCATACTACCCATCTTCTGAAGCTATACCTGTCTTTGTTTGCTCTACAATAGCCTTCCCAGGCTCAGGGAAGGAATTCATTCATTAGCATTGTTCAAAACTAAATGGCAAGATATGGCTCATGAAAGCTAAGAAAAACAAATCAGACAATTCGATATTGCCATGGGGCATGTCCACATGAGAACTTTGCAAAGATGAATCAGACAGATATAGGAAAGTTAGAGAATAATAGAGCTCTCATTATATTTGGCTTAGCCCAAGATGGACAGAAGTACTGTGGAATTTGTGGTATGAATTGGAATCTTTCAAAATAATTAACAGTAATTTTCATTTTGTATTCTATTAGAAGGTTCTCTGAAAATAGGCAGGACTGTTTCTTGGGAACAGGGACTAAGCAAGTAATAGATATTTGATAATTTTTTTCTTTTTTTAATTATTCATTTAACAGATTCGTATTGAGAATTTGCATGTGTAAGATACTGAAGATATAATACTAAGTTTTTTTTTTAAGTCATGATACTATTTCTAATGAGCTTCTAACCTCTAAAAGAAACACACGTGTGTGTTTTTTAGCCAGAAAATGAATATAAGTAGAAAGACAAAAACACACGCCCTGGCTTCTGTGGACTAGCTAAGCTAGAAACACGGTTCCCAGCATTCTTTTCCCTGTCTGATTCCAGGTGAGGGTTGGGCACAAGAGAATACACAAGAGTTTTGGAAAGCAGAAGTGAAGCAGGAGCAATTCTGTTCTGAAGGTGAGTGCAGGGCGTGTGCCCTCCACATCCACACCCGTGAGCTGGCTCACCTTTTCACAGCAGCTGGTTCTCAAAGCCTGGCTTTCTTTCTAGATTTCCTCCTCCCAGTGCTCCAAGTCCTGGGGCAGATGAGTATGTGGCTCCACAGTGAAGACTGCCAGTTCCTTCCATGGGTCACCCACAACTTTGAGATTGGTGAAAAAGAGACGAGGACTCCAGCTTGCTTTCGTGGGCCCAGTTCATCCTTGCTCGAACACCCCTCACCTTCATGTCCTGCTTTTCTTCCTGACTTTCACACCAGAAGACCTACAGTGACTTCAGCTCCGCTACCAAAAAGCAGCCTCCATGCCCTTTTCACCAGCTCCCACCACTGCCTTCAGTTTCATCCCCAATAATAAATCCCATCTTTCACGTGAGGAATGGTGGTTCTGCTTCTCTTTTGAACTGTAACCGATCAGCCAAAATTATTGAAAGTTAGCATGCTTGTCAAAAATGCCTCAGATTTTATACTAGAAAGAAAGAATTATAAATACAGTTGAAGTGCCCTTTATTCCTCTTTTCTTCCCTAGAAACAACTATCGTGATTTTGATGTCTATTTTCCAGGCCATATATTTTATGCTTTTACTATTCATAGGCAACCTATAGGCCTTGGGGTTGTTTTGAAATTTTGCATAGATAGTAATATGCCAAACATATTACTTCACAACTTATTTTTTAAACTCATTATGTTTAAGATCCATAAACTGGTTCTAGTTCATATATTTATCTGCTATATAATATGGCATCATATGAATATACCAGATTGTTTCTATTTTTTTTCTATAAATGTACTGCAATGACATCTTTTTTCTTTTATCTGGAGAATAGTTTACACACTGGAAAGTACACAAATCTTAAGTATTCAGTGCAATGAATTTTCGCTTGTCTACATACCTATGTAGTCACCACCCAGAACAAGATATGGAAAATTTCCGGCACCTCTGCAGACTCCCTCTCAATACAGTCTCCTAAAGGTAACCACATGTTTGGCTAGTTTTTTGTTCTTTTAAACTTCATGTAAATGGAGTCACACAGTGCATACGTTTTGGTGTCTGGCTTTTTCCCTCAACATTATGTTCCCATACAAGATTCATCTGTATGGTATGTAGTAGTAGCTACATACAATACACCTCATCAGTGCAGTGTTGTATGAATTGTATGAATATCCTATAGATTGCTTAGCCATTCCACTGTTGGAGGACATTTAGATTGGTTCCAGTTTGGGGCTATTATGTATAATGCTACTATGAACATTCTAGTATTACATTGATGAGCCATAAAAATTGGAATTTTGGAGGTCAAAACTGGTTGAATATCTGAAATTTAAGATTGTTAACATAATATATGTATTGTGACAGACATAAAAGCACTCATTCCCCTTCAGTTTGTAGCAACCATGGGGCTTTACCACTCACATCTCCAGTGGAGAAAGAACTTGCCATTCAGCTGTACGGAGGGCACTTAACTGGCAGCCTCCAGCGGGTGGCACCTTCAGGCTCCAATCTCACCTTTTCAGCTGAGGCCACATTCTTCCTGGGTAGTCTCCAGAGAATGACTGAGCAGAGCAGAGTTCTTAGGCCCTGACCATTTCTGCCCACAGCCAGATTCTTCTTAGGGGTAATCTGTACTCTGGAGTTCCTCGTTGGATTGAGCCAGACTGTCAGGTAGGCCTCGCAGTATAAAGTCTTTCCCAGCACAATCCTGATCATTTTATCACTTACAGATATAACCCTTCAATAAACCTCTTGTAATCCAACTCCATCTGCTGCCAGAAAGAACCAAACAACACAGTTGGTACCAAGCATAGTGTGAGAAAGCAGGTGGTAAAATGGAGTTTTGAGACTGGATTGCTCACTGTCTGAGTGTCAATAATAATCAAATGGTATGTGGGGCACTGAGAGTCCACAGCACAAGATAGTGGACCAATTACTTAAACTTTTATCAGTGGTGACTTGGGAAAGTATTCTAGCAGAGGGGACCACCCTGGCTAGTGTTTTGGCATTTGAAAAGTAAGGGGGATCAACGCAAACAAGGACTGTGGAATCAGCTGGTTGTCACTAAGTTTCATTGATGTCCTATAGACAGGTAATGAAAGCTGCGGGTCATTAACAACTAACTGAAAACTATGAAGGTTAGAGGGCCTGATGCGTAGCTTACTAAGAGGCCCTTATCTCTTATCATGGAAGAGCAGAAAAAGCTACAGACCAAAGCTAGGATTCAGTATTTGGAGTTACAGACTTTCAAAAATGATTGAATGCTAAACTGAAGCAGGTCTGTTATGTCAAGTCCTGGTCACAGAAAATTGGGATCTTGATATATGGGATGGGCACATCTGGATGGAAGCCCCTGAAGATTTCGGCTCCCTGGCTCTTCTAAGCCTTCAGAGCCTGTAGAGGTTGCCTATCCTCTCCCTATTAAGAGTTCTAATTACTCTACATCTTAGACAATATTAACCGATGAAATCAGATTTTCAAAATTTTTACAAAAATGAAGAACATAAAACGATATCTCACTGTGTTGCTAATTTGCCTTTCCCTTTTTACCTTTACCTCATTAGCCGTGAACTGCATCTTCATAGCTTTTGCCTATTTTCCATTTAGTTGTTTCTCTTTCTTTTATTGAAGTGTAGAGTTCTTGCAATGTTCTGGGTACCAATTAGTAGGTTAAACCCTGCAAATATCTTCTCCCAGAGTGTGGCTTGTCCGTTCATTTTTTAATGGTCTCACTTGAGGCAAAGAAATTTTAACTATAATTGACCTTATTACTCTTACCATTTTTGATTTGCAGGTTTTGAGTTTGTTCAGAAATCTCTCTCTGATTCAAGATCATAAACATTTCGTCCTATATTTTCTGCTAAGGGTTTTAAATTTTGCTTTTTATATTTATGTCTTTAATCTACTTGAAATTTATTTTTCTGTGTGGTGTGCAGTAGGGAAGCCCTTTAAACTTTATTTTTCCTGTCTAGATAACCAATTTTCTCAGCATAATTTGTTGTATAGTCTGTTCCTCCCTCTGACTTACAGTTCAACCTCTTTTATATATCCAATTTTTATACATGTGTGGGTCTATTTCACTGTTCTTTACTCAGTTCCATGAGTTATATGCCAGTAGAGACTATATTCCAGCATCTTAATTACTACAAATTTGGGACTTGATGAGTCAAGTCCTCTTTTTCTTTTTCAAAATTGTCTTGGCTATTCTCAGCCTTTAGACTTTTCACAGAAATTTCAGAATCAGCTCATCAACTTCCATAAAAACTCTACTTTTTTCTTTCATTTCTTTTTTATTCACATTGTATCATGTACATTTGATTAATTTTCCATCAGTGCAAGGCAACATTTCTGATTGTTCACTTTGTGCCTCTTCCTTAAATTACTGAGTCTCCTCAAGTTGGTTGTAATATATTTTTTTCTTACTCAATAGATCAGGCTGCTGAAGTGACTGGAAACATAGTGAAATAGCAAGTGCAAGGATTATCTCAGGAATTAGCAGCATGTAGTTTGTCAAAATGAGACCCATAAATTGAAGATGCTGGGAGACAGAAAGATAGACACATACATATTTTTGTTGACGCTGCTGAACTATTTGAAAGTAAGTTTTAGCCATAGCGACACTTCCCTCTTCCAAGCTTCAAGATGTATCTCCTATGAATTAAGACATTCTTCTAAGTAACCACAATATCTGTATCACACCCAGAAAATATAACTTTCACACAAAATACTATCTTCTATATGGTCCTTATTTAAATTTAATTATCCCATAAAGCCTATTGCAACTATTTTTAATTTTGATCCAGGATCCAATTTTGGTAGCTTAAATAAGTATTCAAAACTATTCACTCACTCCTCTTTTGCACTTGGCCCTAGCCATGTGACTTTCTGGAACCGGTGAATGGTTAGAAGATCTGAAGTAAGCAGGGCCTTGAAATGTGCTTGCCTGTGTGTTTCTATCATTGCCATGAAAAAAGCTTCCCTAGTATAGGAACTGTACCTTCAGCCAGTACTCTCAAATAACCATACATGGAGCAGCGCTGCCCAGCTGACCCACAAACCCAGGAGCAAAATACATGCTCATCACTGTATGCCACTGGGATTTTGTTCTTGGTTGTTATGCCACAAAAACCATGGGATATATCAATAAAAGTTCCAAGTATATTTACTTATTATATCTTTTGTCGTCCTTTATTCTAGAAGAATTCTCCACAACTCTTACCTCACCACACACACACAAATACACACACCATTTTTTTTTTGTCTTTCGAGCCATTGATATTTTTTGGAGAACCCATAACACTTGTCATATAGGATAGTCCACAATCTGGACATGTCTGATTGTTTCCGCATAAGTAGATTCAGGTTCTGCATGAGTAGATTGTGGCAAGAATATTGCATTAGCGAAGTTGTGTATTTTCCATAGTTTTACATAATATCACATAATAAGTCCCATAATATCAGTTTGTTTGATTTCTAATAATGCTGAGTTTGGTCACTTGGTTTAGGAAATGTCTGCCTTATATCTCCATTTTAGTGGTACTTTTTCCCCTTTGTATTTAATAAATAATCTGTGGAGTGATACTTCAAAACTATATGAATATTGTGTCCCCAACAACCTTTTACAAAATGTGTTTAGCAACCATTAACGATCTTTGCCTGAATCAATTTTTACATTCATTAGTTGTTTAAAAACAGCAATTCTTAATTGATAATCTTTTGTAAAGAATGCTCCTACCATTTATATTTTATCATTTTAACTATGGATTCAAGGGTTATTTTATGTGTCAATGGGCTATAATCCATTAATACAATTATTTGGTGGGGGGCGAGGAAGGGTGCTTATAACATCGCAAGTTTGATCAGTGGAAGCCCTGTCAAACCCTTCAGCGTCTTCTTATTTTGTCAGTTTCCTATAGGTGAGCATAGACAATGCTTCTAAAATTCACCTGTTAAAAACAGTGCCGTAACATCTTCATATAGAGGCTGTTTGGTACAATCATAGAAGCCGAGCTGCAAGGTCAAATGCTAAATATATATGTGGTTTTGCTAGATATTCCCTAATTGTCCTCATTAGGGGTTGTGTCAGTCACAGTCCGGGCAGGAGACAGAAACCACAGTAATTTAAGCACAGAAAGATTAATATAAAGAATTATTAACTGGTAATAGGTGATTAGAGTGACAGATGATTGGCTACTAAAGGGTAAAGAAAACTCTAAGGAATATATAAGAATATCAGTTACATGGAATAACTACGATTCCTGAAGCTGAAGCAAAGTACCAAAGGAAGAAAAGGTTTTAGAGAGACCCCCACCCTCATGAAAAAGCTGAGATTTAGATCTCACTGGAGAGGGAGTGGGCATTTCCCGTTGGGTAGCAGAGAAGTTTGCTGCGCTGCTTCAGCCACTCACTGGGGTGCAGACGAAACTTGGTTGAAAGCTGACTGCGGATGGGAGGAGACACTTCCTGTTGAACTAGCTGGGAAACTGAAAGGGATAGTTGCTAGAAGGCCACCAGGAATTATGTCACTGGAAGGATGTTGAAATTTCTGGGAAACCAGCTAGCACACCTGTGGAACTCACCTGGAACCTGCCTGAGTAGTTGCTACTGAAACTGTGTGGGGTGAGCTCCACTGAGTGTCCCACATCCACTGAGTGTCCCAAACACTGCAGAAGCAATTAGAAAAGAAAACACAATGGAAGCATATAAAGAATCTCCTCCCTCCTACAGTGTCCTTCCACTGGTAATAGGTGATTAGAAGCTTACTACTTGCGAAGCTTAACATAATGCTACTTGGCAAAAGGAGAAGTGTTCACAAGATCCAGCTCCAGTATCATAAGTAGGGCAATGCAGGAGGATTTGGAGATGAGAGGTAATGAACTGCTCACTGGCACAGGGGTTGAAACAGTTTGCACTCCACCAGCAATGCATAAAAATGGTTTTTTCGTCAAAGTTCTACCAAGAGGCAAGCTTTGGGAATTTTGTCAGTCTTATTGGTGAGCAATGGTATTGCAGTATATTCGTTAATTTTAATTTATCTTATGAGTAAAGTTGAACATCTTTTGTATATTTGAGTCATTTTATATCTTTTTCTGTGAAATGTTTGTTCATGTCTTTTGTCTACTCTCTATTGAGTTTTTATTCGGGTTTTTTTTTCTTTTTTAATTGATTTTTAAGAGTCCTGTACATAATTAGAGAGATGACCCTTTGTCTGTGGTATATGTTACAAATATTTTCTCCAAATTTTTCATTTGTCTTTTCACATTATTTCTCATGAGGTTGTTGGGGTGGGGTTTTTTTTGCCATCATTCAATCAATTTATCAATATTTTCTTTAATTACATCTTGATTTTGAGTAATGGATAAGAAAACTTTCCCTATATCTAGAAATTCATCCATGTTTTCTTCTAGTACTTTGGATAGTTTCATTTTCCATATTTCAGAATCATTAGGATTTTATTCAGAATAATGCAAGGTATCTTTTCCCAAACGACTATTCAGTTCCTTTCAAAATAATTTCTCCAGTGATTTGAGATGATGCCCTTATCATCTATTAAATTTTCATATGAATTTTTCAATAATGGCTAGAAAACTGAAGGAAAAAATGAGAAGGTTTCACTTACCAAGTGTTAAAATAAAACATATTATAAAGCTTTTATAGTTAAAGTAATGTGACATTGGTACAGAAATAGAGAAATAGACCAAAAGTGAATTTAAAGTCAAACTACAATAGAGGTCAGGAAAAAGGACACATCTGGCTCTGCATTTCAACCTTATAGAGGTGATCATAAAGTAATGGAATTGGTTGAAACTGCTGCTTAACAGAATACTCTAAAATTTACTGACTTAAAATAACAACCATTTTACTATCTTATGATTTTGTGGGTCAGGAATTCAGGCAAGGCTTAGCTGTGCCATACTTCTGCTCCACAAGGCATCCATAGAACAGTATTCGGCTGGCAGATGAACTTATCTGTAAGAATCAAAATGGCTTCACTCCTCCACATTGATGGGGATGGCTGGAAAGCGGAACTCAGCTGGAACCGTCATCCAGAGCACCTATAAGTGGCCTCTCAGTCATAGACATTTCATGGTAGTGGGCACCTCAGACACTAGATCAAGGCTTTAAGCAAGAGTGTTCCAAGAGCCCAACATGGAAGCTATAAGGCTACATCTGACCTAGACTCACAATTTACCCAGTATCTCTTCTGCCACATTCTATTGGTTACAGCAAGGCAAAGGCCCAGCATAGAAACAAGAAGTGTGTGAGTACTGGGAAGTGTGGTTCACTAGGGCAGGAGTATATCTTTGGAAATTGGCTACTACAAAAATGAAAAAAATAATTTAAAAACTAAATTGCAGAAGAAATCTTTTAAAATACCTACATTACTAATGGTCAGAGCGCGAATGTAGTGCAGAAGCATATCAAGCCTACTCAGTGAAAAAGCCATAGAAGAGAGTCATAAAGAACTATGTAATACTGGAAAGTGCAAGTAATAGAAAGAAGACGGTCCACCTTGTCACAGGCTGGAGAAGAGCAGGAAAGGCGGAGACTTGGAAGAGGCAATCGGCTTTATTAAGAGTCATTGGTAACTTTCAAGAGAGGTATTTATGTCGCGATGTTTAATAATTCTGAAGTCAAATAATAAAAGGTTGTGAGTAGAGAATGAAAAAGAAAGTCGCTACACTCTCTCTTTATTATATTGCAAAGATAAAATAAATAAAAATTGAAAGCTCTGAAGAATAATCTTGAGGTAATACTCATATCACTCAATATATCCCTATCTTTGGCTCTATCAAAACACTTTTTTTTGTAGAAAAAAAGATTTTTACTGAGACCTTTCCCAACAAGTTTGGAAAATAATATAGAGTACAAAATGGGAAATTCACTAGATATTTCAGGCCTCTAGTAACTAGTTAGTATTTAATTATCTCCTAATGTGAAGTGATAAATAATTATCAAGTGTAAAAATCAGTGAAAATGGCAATGACTGGTATTTACTGAATATCTACCATGTGTCAATCACTATCCTAGATGTAAAAAATAAGCAAAATTATTTTTCTACATGAATTGCAAGGATCAAATGGTACTTTTCTTATTCATCTCTTAATACAGATTAGTCTAGGCATTGGGATTTATTGTAGCATACAAAGACAATCCATCTCCTATAAGATCAGTTCTGCAATGACTTTCAGAGGCCGTTCCTACTCCTATAGCATTCCCACGCCGCTAGTCACTGGTGTGGTGTGGAAGAGCTTAGCACGAAGACAATGCAGAGTAGAAGGGCTCACATAGAGATTCTACAGAGCTTGCAAAGTAAAAGCCACAGTCAAACCTCTTGTCTGGAGCTAGGCAAGTCAAGGAAAAAGCAGTAATGGTTGCATATTACACATAAACACTTTTCTATAGTAATCTCTATTTTATAATGAATAGAAAGAAAAAGAAAATCTTGAGTACCATTGTAAAATTATAATGGAAATGTTCTTGTTCCTCTATAGCAATTTAAGAATTAAAACATTTTCCTTGAGGAAAAAAAAATCCAAATTCTATATTGTTTACCCAAATTTTCCAAGCTGGTTTAAAAGTGAAAACTTCAGTCAATAAAGCAACTATTCTGTCTAACTCAGGAGTAGACAGACGTTAAGCTCCCTGAATACAATGCCCATACCTATTTCTTCCATCAGAGAAGTAACACCAAAGAAAGTTTTAATGTAATTTTTCTCTTTTGTCCTTTTGTATTTTCTAGACAATTGGTTGACATCCATCTGCTTGAGAGCAGATTGGATTCTATCACAGAAGAAATGCAAAGTAAAAGAAAAAGATAATATTCAGCCTTTGGCATGTAAAATTACTGTCCAAAAAGAATTTTCTAATTTCTTCATTCCTCCACCAACCATCTCCATTTATCATAACAGAAAGTAAGTATGAATGACTCAGACCATAAAGTGCTCTTACAACACAGAGAATATTCCTCTTCTAGTGATCCGTATTTGAAGAGGGATATGATGTGGGGTAAGCAAAAAGAAAAGAAAAACCCACTGTTTTCCTAGCACTAGAGAACAGAAGAGGGCAAAAGAAGAGAGTGAGTAATCATTTCTCTTGTTTTCCCCCTTGGAGCCCCCACCCAGAGAGAGATGAGGTATGTGAGATGTGTCAGAGAGAGGAGCAGAGGGAAATCTTTCTGTTTATGACTCTGGGAGGTAGCTGACCTGCAGGCTGCCCAATACATGTTTCATCTACTGCCACCGCAAAGTAACCTTAATTTTACAGGATAGTCAGCCCTGGGAATTAGCTCATTGAGTAAGTGTCTGCTCCTCACCAGCACAGACTGAGCTCAGAAGGAATGGAGAGGTTGACTGGGGAGTTTCCAGAGAGATACCTCCCTAGTGAAAAGAGCACAGCAAATGACCCAGATGGGGCCGAATGTGCCAGATCTCAAAATGGTTTATACTGGTGTAGGGGATAAGAAGACACTAAGTCATCCAGTGAGTACCACCAGGCACTGCCCAAGTAGACGGAATCTACAGCTCTAAAACTGATAAGCCAACAAGTTAAGTAGTAAGCAAATGGACAAAAGACACTGTCCTTGAGATTGAAGGAGTCAGGAAAACAAAGGTTGAAGACCTTGACTCTCCTTTTTTATCATGAGCTTGCATAAATCTTTACATCACCACCACCCCCACCCCACCCATACATACACACACTTAAAGAGCATCAAAGAAGAGAGGTAGAAGACTGAGAAATTTTGGACAATGAGGTTTGCTTTTTTTTCTTGAAGATTTGAGCATTACTTGAAGAGGCTATTTAAATTATCCAATAAAAGAGGAATGATGTCATCCATATGGTGACATAGGTCATTTCAACTTCAGTACCCCTCACAAGAAGACCAACTAGAAACTATCCATAGATAATCACCATTCTGAAAATCTCAGAATACGAAGGTGAGGCTTAAGTACCCCCGTGAATAACAGAGATTCAGGAGGACCACCCAGGTTAGAAGGGAAAGAGAGATGGTTCCACTTAGACCACATCATTGCACCAAGAGGGCCCCCCGGACTTCTGGTTTCTCTAGTAGGAAAAAGAGAACCCAAGGTGACATCCAGATTCCCCAGCATTGCAGAATGCTTCCTGGAAAGTTCACTAGGGTCTCACCTCATGGGGATCACTGGAGGAACCTGTGGAGGTCAATGACTAGGGATCAGATAGAGACAGAGAAAGAAGGCAGGGATTACAGCAACCAGAACTCAGATCTTGGTGGACCATATTTCTGCTTGTAGCATCACCTAAGCAGAGATACAAGCCAGCAGCTCTACTCATCTGTAGAGCCAAAGTGGTGGCACCATCTTGCCAGGGAAGTCAGTTGGCAGTCCTGCCTGAATGGGATCCTTAGCCAACAGGCAGTACTGGCCATGGAGTATACACTGTGGCCCTCCTAGGAAAGGGAACAAACTCACAGTCCCATCCAACTGCTCAGCATAACCTCCAGTCCTGCCCCACCAGGAAGCATAGCCAGACCCCGAGTATCTACAGAACACATACTATGGCCCACCCAGGCGGGGAGTCAAACCAGCAGTCCTGCCTGACACTTGAGCATAGCCTCTAGCTCTGGAAAACCATGAAGCCTGAAGAGTGACCAAGAGCAGCCTCGGAGTCCAGCCTACCATCCAACCCAGCAGCAAAGTGCAGCATACAGCCCTGCCCAACTGCTGAATACAGTTTGCAGCCTCACCCCCAGTCAATGACCTACAATTGCAGAGCAAAGCCTGCAGCCCAATCTAACCAAGTAGCCTAGCAAGGACTGCATCTAACCATGGAGCACAATCTCCAGTCCCACTCAATTATGGGGTACAACTGTGTTTATATACGCTGACAACAAACTATCTGAAAAAAGAAATTAAAAAATCCTATTTACAATAGCATTAGAAACAATAAAATACTTAGGAATAAATTTAACCAAGGAGGTGGAAGATGTGTAAACCGAAAACTATAACACATGCATGAAAGAAATTGAAGAAAACAGAAAAAAATGGAAAGATATCCCATGTTCATGAATTAGACGAATTAATTTTGTTAAAATTTCCATACTACTCAAAGCCATCTATAGATTCAATGCATCCCTATAAAACTTCCAACAGCATTTTTTTTACAGAAAAAAAAATCCTAAATTTTATATGGAATCACAAAAGATTCTGAATAGCTAAAGCAATCTTAAGAAAGAAGGAAAAAGTTGAAGGCATCACACTTTCTGAAATAGATTGAAGACTTAATGTAAGACCTGAAATCATAAAACTCCTAGAAGAAAACATATCTCAATAAATTCATTAATAAATGTATTACAAATAAACATGAAACATAGGAGAAAAGTTTCTTGACATTGGTCTTGGCAAGGATTTTATGAATATAACACCTAAAGCACAAACAACAAAAATAAAAATAAATGAATGCGACTAGATTAAATTTTTTGAGGAAGCTCCATATTGTTTTCCATAGTGGCTGCACCAATTTACATTCCCACCAAGAGTGCACAAGGGTTCCCTTTTCTCCACATTGTTGCCAACACTTGTTATCTCTTGTCTTTTTAATAATTGCAATCCTGTCAGGTGGGAGGTGATAACTGCATTGCAAATTTGCATTTCCCTGATGATTAGCCATATTGAACACCTTTTCATGTACCTGTTGGCCATTTGTATATCTTCTCTGGAAAAATGTCTGAGTCCTGTGTCCATTTTTTAATCAGATTTTCTTTCTGTTGTTTTTTTGCTATTGAGTTGTATGAGTTCCTTATATATTTTGGATACTAACCTCATATCAGATATATGATTTGCAAATATTTTCTCCCATTCCCTAGGTTGCTTTTTCATTTTTCTTTTTTTGATCATTTCTTTTGCTGAGCAGTATGGAACTTCCTCAAAAAATTTAAAATAGAACTACCATATGATCCAGCATTCCCACTTCTAGGTATATATCCAAAGGAAATTAAATCTCCTTCTCAAAAAGACATCTGCACCCCATGTTTGTTGCATCATTATTTATAATAACTGAGACATGGAAGCAAGCTAAGTGTCCATCAGTGGATGAATACATAAAGAAAGCGTGGTGTGTATACATGCAATGCAATATTATTCAGTCATATAAAGAAGGAAATCCTAGGACCGGCCGGGTGGTGCAGCGGATAAGTTCACACGTTCTACTTTGGCGGCCCGGGGTTCACTGGCTCGGATCCCCGGTGTAGACCTACGCACGCAGCGCTTGTCAAGCCATGCTGTGGCAGGCGTCCCCCATATAAACAAGTAGAGGAAGATGGGCACAGATGTTAGCTCAGGGCCAGTCTTCCTCAGCAAAAAGAGGAGGATTGGTGGCAGATGTCAACTCAGGGCTAATCTTTCTCAAAAAAATTAATAAATTTAAAAAAAAAAAAGGAAATCCTACCATTTGTATCGTGAGTGAAACTTGAGGGCATTATGCTAAGTGAAGTAAGTCGGACAAGGAAAGACAAACACTGTATGATCTCATATGTGGAATATTAAAAAACCTAAATTCATAGAAACAGAAGGTAGGATCGTGGTTACTGGTGGGGAGTAGATGGGGAAATAGGTAAATATGGTCAAAAGGTATAACCTTCTGTGATTAGATGAGTAAGTTCTGAGGATCTAATGTACAGAATGGTGACTATGGTTGACAATACTGTATCGTACATTTGGAAGTTGCTAGGAGTGTAGATCTTAAAAATTTCACCACACGTACCAAAAAAATGGCATCTATGTGAGGTGTTGGAGGTTTTAACTAACCTTATTGTGGTAATCATTTTGCAATACGTATCAAATCATCAC